TCCCTCTTTCCTTAGCCGCACTGCTTTGCACTTGCCTTCAATGAATTTTGTCTGGTTGGTTTTGGACGGCTTCTCTGCTTGAGCAGAAGGAGTCTGAACCCTGCAAAGTGTTTGCAGCCTGGCATCACGCACAGACATTGTGCAGGCATGAGGATTCTTCCTTCGTCCACCTTAATGACAACATTGGATGGAGTAGGGATCCGGACAGACCCCTGCAGGCTATGCTTTAAGTAGCTTTTATTGTAACAACAGCCAAGTATTGCTAATTATCTTTGGAGTGCAGCTGTGCAGCCCATTGTGCAATTGGTTTCACCTAGACCACATTTTCTCCGTCTGCTTGAGTGTGTCATGTGAGAGCGTGTTGAAATCCTGCACATGGCCAAGGCACAGCGTATCCACCGCTTCTCCCTTATCTGACTGACCAGTTATCGGAGCAGCAAAGGGAACCAGATTGCCTTAATGTAATCAGGCCTTAACAGATCTGCACCGGCTATTTAATGACCCTGATATCCTTTAGAGGGTTTTGACCTCATCACTCATAAACCTGGTCTGTTTAAGGGAATGGGGGTGCGTAGTCTGCAGTTCTGGATTCTCCCTTCTCTGTTTTGAAGATAGTCAGAGGATTTACCCTTCCTCGGGTCTCTGAGACCACCTTTATCTTCCATTTTGGAGGGAACTGCAAATTTTTCAGAGATTGCAGGAACATTAGGTATGTGAAGATGAGTTGCAGCAGGCCTTTAGCAATACGGATGTAACTGTTTTATCTATCTGATCGTCGAACCTCTCCATCACACTATCGCCTTTCCCTCCCTGTGCTCCTGCACCCTCCTTTAAACACTTCAAACATGATCCGTGCCCTGTCTGGTCACCACGAGCATTTTTATGATTGTTGGAACAAAGCCCGCATTTGCTGTTCCAGCCAGCTCGGCGTTGGCTGCCTTTTGTTTCTTCTGCCGATAAGGACTAGACCGACATTCCCCATTGTTTCCTGCTAACATATTTATGGAGACTTTGCTTGTTGCCTTTCGTGTCCTGGACTAACTAGCACTCATTTTACACTGGAGCCTGTCTCGTTTGGTTTTTTTTCCCCTTCAGTTCTACGCGGTGCTTAGTCATCCACATGTTTTTCCCTTGCTGACTTCAGGCCTGGCTTCACTCCTGCGGCTGCTGCAGCGCTTCCCCTTGGGGATGGCGGGACAGGCTGACGGCCCCCAGCCCTGTCTGAGCAGGCAGGCTCGGTAGCTTGGTGCACACTGGTGCATGCTGCTAGCACACTGCTAGCTTACTGCTTCTGGCTTGCAGGTGCCTCCAGACTAACGTAGTCTTGGTTTGCGCTTCTTCCTGGTTTGCTGCTCCACAGCCAGCCCAGCCTGCCTGCTCTTCCCCCTTGCACCTTTGCCTGGAGCCCCCAGCAAGGCAGCCTCCCCCAGCTTCCCAGCTGCGGAGCGCCTTGGGGGACTGCTCTGCCTTGACGGGCTGTCCCTGTGGGCTTCTGAGCAAGCCCATCCCATCCATGGAGATGTTCTGGTCCTGAGGGTTAGCCCAAGTCCACAGTGCCCATTCAGCCATTGCTTTGGCTGCATTATGAAGACTGCCTTGTTCCTCAAGCTCTCACGTTTCTCCTCTCCTCCTCCTTCCTCCTATGACTGCTGTGCTTCCTCCCACTGCATCTGGAGGTTTTACTTCCAGCCTCCCTCCCTAGGGTTGCGCTTCCCTTTCTTTGCCAGACAGCCCCCTCCACCTGTGCTGGGCATAAACCGAGGTCCCAGGGGTCCAGAGCTCTTCAGTCCTCCCAGGGTTCACTGGTCACTGCCGGGGCCTTTGCCCTCCCTTGGGTGGCCAACTGAACCCATCAGCTTCTCCCCCCACTCCCACTCCCTGGTGATCTGCAGGGGGTGAGGCTGGAGTTGGTGGTCAGAGGGCTCAGACCTGCCTTGGCGGGTGCAGATTTAGGTTCTGGAGGTCCTGTGGGTGCAAACAAGGGCTCTGGGGTGCAGAGGGATGCTCTGCCCAGCTGGTGGCCTCACCACGAGTTGGGGTAGCTCGGGCAGGGTGTCCAGGGAAGGGCATTTAGCAGAGCAGACCTGTCGCAGCGGGGCAGCTGCTGTAGGGCTTGCGCGCATGCTCTAGCCCAGCGGCGAGCCAGCCGGGTGAGCCCTTTGGCACAGTTTGCAGGTTAATAAAACAAGCCCTTGTTTGTGCAGCGTGAGGTCCCTCTGTGTTCTGGTCCTGGAGGTGATAATCAGTCTGTCAGGGCCACCATCATCTGCCTCCTTGGCCTTGTTGGATCAGGAAAGGGTGTTCTCCAAGGCTGGAAGCAGCCTTTCTCCCAGATCTTATGCTAGCACAACTTTTTAGCAGGAAGCCGCTAACCTGGTAGTGTCTCCAGCTGCAGAGCACTGGGAGGACCCTTATCTGGCGTGCATTGCTGGGGGGAGGGCTACCTCCTCTGCTGGATGATGCCAAATGCCGGGGGTGTCACCGTCGGGCACAGAGGGGGCTCTGCGGAAGTGCCAAGGAGTGAGCCCCTGTGCCGGGGCGGCACCTGCGAGAACACGGAGGGCTCCTACCGCTGCCACTGCTCGCCGGGCTATGTGGCCCTGGCCCAGCCCCACCACTGTGTGCCCCAGACAGCCCAGAGCCCAGCGGCAGCATAGTTCACGGGGAGCGGGGGTGAGGGTGCTCCCCTCCAACGCGCAACTCTGGCACCTGGGAGCGTGGAGAAAGGCCCCAGGGGCTGCGGGTGCTCCGAGGCTCTCCGCTCCTTCGCCTCCGAAGAGCACAATGTCCCCGCCACCTCTCTCCACAGACCAGGGCTGAGGTCCCCGCCTCTGCACTCCCTCCGCCCTGCCAGCCCTGGCTCCTGCCACAGCCCCCCCCGGCCCCCGCCAGCCCCCGTCGCATCGGCCCGTGCCATGGAGGCTCACGGGTTGCCTTCCGCTGCCACGCAGCCCCAGCCTTCCCCCTCTCCCTGCCGAGAAAGGGGGTCCATCTCCCTGCCACTGCTGCACTGACCTAGCGACAAGCCTCACCCATGCCCCGGGTGCCGACCCCGCATCCAGCCCCCAGCCCAGAGCTTTGGAGGGGGAGTCAACCCCAGCTTTCTAGAGCTGCTGGCTAACGTAGGGGCATGGCGGAGAGGCTGGAGGGACCCCAGGGCCAGCTCTCCCTGCGGCCAGCCCAGGCGCATCCCTTCATCCCGCACTTTGCCTTCGTGCCCCGCACTTTGCCTTCGTGCCTCGCGCTGGCTGGACGGGGAGGGGAGGGCAGGTCCAGCTTCCTTTCTGTAAAGTTGTTGGTGTCTTTTTTTTTTTTTTTTTTTACTGTTTTTGCTGGAAT